ATTTTACTCTTCTGGGGAAATAGAAATAATTCTCCTTCCTGTGGGAACCAATCCTGAAATCCTGATTTAACTGCATGATTGCAGGATGATTTCAGAGAAGAATGTTATATAATAAACTCATCCAAAATTGACTAGATGAGATTTTGTATCCTCACAAACATTTAATATAGTACAATCACTGTCATTAGTCAATATTAAATGTGAGGTAGATATTATTTGACTTTAATTTTTTCACTGATTTAAGAATTTGGGTAGACATCCTGACTGAGAACAATGTATATAAAATAGGAAAGAAAAGCTTCATTTCCAAAATTACCTTAGTGTAATGGCTTCAGAGACTTTGTTCATGTCAACGCCACAAGGAAAACACCATTCCTTCAATTGCTTGGGCAATTGAATTGCTTTTCAAAGGCCCATGCTTGTTTCAAGTCTACCATGCTTGTTGTCAGGGTTCCAAGTAACACCTCCAACAGAGAGGTGGGAGTATGGAGTATGGGAGATATATAGTCTAATTAACATTCCTTTCTCCATATAATCCCCCAGCACAAAATGTGGCAGGCCTGAAGGCCCAATGTAAAAGATGGCTTCCGGGTCTGACACTTGTTTCAAGTCTATCATGTCATCTGCTCATCCGTTAGTATAAACCCAGGAGAAGAATCATATGGGTAGACATACGTGCAGATAACTTGGGAAGGTCTCAATGAGGCAGTGCAAGAACACAATTGCCTCAACTTGAAGCTGTGATGCTTTGCTGCAACCAAAACTTTCCTTACTTAATATAACATGCTTACATATTATTTTCAAACAATTTAAGTTTCACAGCATATTGCTGAAGGATAATTATAGTTCTATGGTCTCCTTATTCTTATTTATTTATGTAACCATTAACACTCTGCCATAATGTTTACATACACACTTTAAGACAATTATTAAGAGTCCTTAAGATGTGAAATATTGCATTTGTCAAGCTGGCATAGCAATCACCTCCTCTGTGCTGCAATTAATAGGAGTACACCCATTTTGGGGGAAGACTATAGCTTAGATTTACATGATTTGCAAACCCCATAATTATTTATTAACAACAGACAGATATGAATGAGGAAAAAAGACTTGTGCCCAAGGCTCACTGCCAATCAGAGTAATAATTTCGGGAAGGGGCCAAACGAGTTAAATTCTGAGTTCTTGGCATCACTCTGTAGGGCTGGGAAAACTGCCAATTTGAAGCCCTTGAACTGTTGTTTCCAGTTAGTGATCTGCATCAGTGGTTCTCAACTGGTGAAGTATGTATCACAGATGAAAAACAGAAGTAGTATAGGGGAGGCACAGGGTGTATCATTGGAATGTTAATTATCTCTGTGTAAGACAGATGATCCGTGTTTTTGAACAAAGGGCTGTGGACCTGTAAAGGAGGGTCAAGGATTGGGAAGAAAACATCTATGCAACCATGAGGGTAATTGTTTCATCCACACATAATCTGACTGATGAAGGATTGTAACTTGGAGAAGAAGTTCTTCCACAACTAGGGATGTCTGTAAATGGGCTGGTTGCTTTACCCTATATAGATGGAGTGCTCAAGCTGCAGCCCCAGGTTTATATGTGGTTCCCAAAACCTTGGGTGTGACTCTCAAAGCCCCTTTAACAGCTGTCACCAAACTGTATTTCTTCTGTTTATTTTGACAGAAGACAAGAACTATTAAATAGGCAGGAAAATAATCATATTAATTGAGCTCAAATTAAATGTACATTAAGTTAAATCAGATTTTATTTGAGCTAGGCCATACCATTTATTTGTCCTGGTCCTGTCAACAGTTTTGGAATGCAACCTTCCCCACAAACCATTCAAAATCTATATGTGGCCCTTCCTTTAAAAAAAGTTTTAAAAATATCAGTCACTTTGTCACAGCTTTTGCGCTGATCTTTCCTGGTCCCTTTTAGATGTTTTGCTCTTAGACCCTCTGCTATTGACTGGTGTCTGGTGAAGCACAAAATTTGGACTTGTTCCAGGTTTGGGTCTACCAGTGAACAATAGAAGTAAATGTCTTACTTTGAAATATTTCATTTTAAATCTTTTCTGCCTTGACAAGTTTTATATATTTCTTCTATTGAAAACAATAAAAAGTTATTACTATGGTAGATTTCAGATACAGTATATTTGAGACTAAGGCAAAGACCTGGCATTTCTGTTACTAGATGCTATTCTGAAGATATTTTTAATCCATTAAGCAACTTGGTATACATCAAATGTTTGGACTACTATCATAATTTACTTTTATAGCCCCACTGTTGGCTGTAGCATATGGGAATTTTAATCCAAATACCACCAGTGTCAGTTTGCTATCCTACTCTTTTACTTATTATTGCATGTTTTCTCATTATGCTAAACAATAATTCATATACAAGATTCTCACTAGACACACCCACACCTGAAGCCTTTATAAACAGAAGAACACGACACTGACATCAGGGGTGGGTTCCTGTACGGTTGATATCAGTTCGCTTCACACATGTGGCGCATTGCTTGCACATGCTCAGTTGACTGAAAACTGTTCTGTACATGTGCAGAAACATGCCAGCAATGGCAGAAGAGACCAAGGAACCGGTTTGGGGGCGTGGCCATCAGGTTCGCTGCCAGTTCCGCGACCCAGCCNTATATATATATATAAAACATTTTGTCTGTCTCTTTTTAATCTTAACCATTTCTTGATTTTCTTGCCAATATGTCATTACACATAATATATATATATTATGTGTAATGACATATTGGCAAGAAAATCAAGAAATGGTTAAGATTAAAAAAGACAGACAAAATGTTTGATAGAAATACAGTATAATTATTTTGGAGGGGAGTGAAGTAAGTTAACCAAGAATCTCCACCAGAGTAAATGGAATTAAAAATAAAAAAGATGAAATGGCTTGGGGTGAAACTGAGGTGAAGGGAAAATGGGAGGAGTATTTAGAATGATAGTTATATATATATATATCGAAGAGTGGAACTGTTGCTATATATGGTAATTTTCAGGAAAAAATATTATGAAAAGGGACCTATATGCTTGCATATATTATTATGATTTGCTTCCAGAGTCCTTCTACAGGAATTGCTTAATCTGTATGAATTATATATTTTTATTGATAATTGGAAGATGGATCTTTTGTACATTTCATTCTACAAAATAGAAAAGTAACAAGAGTTACTACATAAACTACAGGCAGTTTTATTTGTTGGCAATGCTTTGACAATATATTGATGGAACTCTAATGAAAAAATGTAGGTAGTGACACTGAAGTGACTAAAAGCTGGTGATGGCAGACCAGAAAAGTGTTCTTCAGCATTGAGAAAGATAATTGAAAGTTTATTATAAAAGACGTTTATAACACTCTGTTGATTTAGACAAAGTGAAGAGGCATGAATCATGGAATGTTTAGCACAAATATAGAAAGTTGAAGTTGGTTGCTAAATGTGATGAGTGATACAGTATATGACAGAAGTAAAGAATGTGTAAAAATAAATGAAATTCCTAGCCAGCAATTCATTACTGAGCAAGGAGTACAACAAAGATGTGTGATATTTCCCTTGGGAGTTTAATATACTTAAGAATATATGTTTAAATGATGTTTTGTTCTAGAATTGGCTATGAATGTGACTTAATGTGTACTTTTGTATGCAGAAGATTTATTATTCTTAAATTTTTTGTAACTGACAGTCCCAAATGATAATTTGATTTAAAAAGTCGCTTTTTAAAGCTGCAGCTGAGTAGAAACATTAGATATTAACAAATTCAAGCTCAAATTCATGGTGTTAAAGTAAACTTAAATTGCAATAACTGAAATCACATTTTTGCACCAGGATGTCAAAATGGAAACCGTTCCCAAAAATATCAGCAAATTTTCCATGTCCTGGCAGAAATTAGTATCGATTTTTCTCACTTCCCAGTAATTAGATTCTCACTTTTGATTCTTTCTTGCATTTTAAAGCATTGTATTAATATTAGAACTGTGTAAGTCCTTCAGGAGAACAGAAGGGCCCACCCAGCTTGTCTCTTAGAATCAGTAAGGTAGTGATATATTTTTCTAGGCTTACACAGCTGTATTTGCAAGTATGTGGATACACCTAATCAGATGCAAGGGCACATTCAAAGAGTCGTAGAGCCAGGAAAAAGGTGCAACTGCTCAAACATTCAAAGAAAGCTTGTTAAGATGAATTCCGATACATTTCAAAGCATATTCTTCAAAAGATTTGAACAATCTTAATATAAATTTTCAATCAAATAATGAAGTTAGGTCTTTACAATTATTCAAAATGAGCCTAATCTGGTAGTTCTCAATATTGCAGTAATACAAGTGTCTCTAAAATCTTAAAAAAAAAAAAGAGTTATCAAAATTAATTAATATAAATTCACCGCTGGAATCAACCTTCATTTTTGTATTGGCTCAAAAGTTTGATTGACTTATATATCACTGTCTAAGCTTGTTTAAGTTACTTTGCAATTTTAGGAGTATATTGTGGAAACTCAAATAAAATGCCTACCATGTGAGGTTTGAAATGGCTGTCATTTGGGTGATGAGGTACCACACCATATCATTGAGAGGCATAGTGGCCTAGTGTGAAAATTCCTGTCTCTCACTCAGAAGTTTGGGAGTTCAGTCCTAGGTAGCAGCAGATGTTTCTCTCTCAGTGTGCTAAGAGAAAGTGTCTGTTACAAACTCCATGTAGGCATCAGGAAGGGTATCCAGCCAGTAAACGCTCAGCTGCATTTAGTCACCCTAAATTAAATTACCTCAAATTAAGGGATTACAGGGTCATAAAAAGAAAAAAAACTGTTGTGTTATCATTTTAAATCTTAAACTATAATTTAATCTTAACTATAATTTTACATTCTCATTTGTGTCTTAATATTAAGTGCCTTAAAACTATTTTAGGTAGAAAGATAGGATACCTTGCATAAATAAGTATTTCAAGTCCAAGGTTTATATCCATTTTTTTCTTCTAAACATTTACATAGGCATTGGGACTAAAGATGGAACAGCAGAAAAGGATAAAGATTTCAGAGGAAAAGCTCAGAAACAGGTTCAGTTTAACCCAGGACAGACTGTGGCTACTTGGCGAGTAAGAATAATTGCAGATAATAAATATGAAGAATCTGAGACCTTCCAGATTATTTTGTCAGATCCAGTTATGGCTGCCCTGGAGTTGCCAGAAAAGGCAGTGGTGGAAATCATTGATCCTGGTGATGGTATGTTACTTTTTTCCTGCTTTTTTTCATATTGTAGCTTTCATACCTTGGCTGCGATTTACTGGAATATAATTTTTAACAAATCTAGTATATTTTGTCTTTGTCATAAATGATTGGTGTATATTGACCTTCTGCTCTTTTTCAGAATCTACTGTGTATATTCCTGACTCAGAATATAGAGTAGAGGAAGATGTTGGTGAGCTGTTAATCCCTATCAGGAGATCTGGAGATACTAGTCATGAACTAATGGTTGTTTGTTACACTCATCAAGGTATTTCTTACTGACCTATGCCAAATATAAATATTGTATTTGTTCCATAAAGCAGAATTTTATTTAACTTAGCACAGTATATCCATTTTAGAAAAAGCGTAAGGCAAAACCGTTCCAAAACGCTTGCAAATTGCTAGTGAATATTTTTTTTACATGCTATTCTTCACCTTAAGAGCCAAGGTGGCGCAGTGGTTAAATGCAGCACTGCAGGCTACTGCTAGATCAGCAGGTCAGCGGTTCAAATCTCACCGGCTCAGGGNATCTGTATGTTTTACTTTTTATTGTTATGTATGATTTGTCTTGCTTATGTCGTTGCATTTATGTCGCTGTATTTTTCTTCTTGTTTTTTAAAGGCAATAATGTTTAATAAAAATTATATATATTTTTAAAAAAGAGATACATGTAGCAAGGCTTTGATGAATAGTAATTTTGACAAGTTTATATATTGGTATTCCAAACATCTGTCTAGAGTTCTTGGCGCATAATAAGCAAGCATCAGAATTTCTTAAAATTATATCTGAAAACAAACTGGAAGCATTTCCAATTGTTTCAAGACCAGTATCTCATGATCTTTAAAATGCATAGAACAAATCCATACATTTGATTTTGTTTACAGATTTTTTTTTTCAAGGACAGCCTGAAGTAATTATGTGCTACAGTAGACTAAGCATAAGGTAATTGGATTGGATGTGTGGCAGTATCAAACACCATGTTGTACTTCGTCGTTTGGAAGATAGACCTTTAAACCTAACGCTTTCATTTTGACTCCTGCTATTATTTATTCTTTGTGCTGTATCAATAATAAGAAAAGGAATGGAACAAAAGACTTTAAAAAATAAGTTTCAAAACCATTCTTTGAAGAGGTAGCATGTATGATATTGAAATAGGAGACCAAAATTATAAAATAGGATGTAGCTTGAAATTGTTTGAACGAACAGTAATACATTTTTGTAAAACTCAGATATCTTTCTAATAATTTCTTTCAGTTTCCCTTGAAAGGCACAAGGTACAATCCTGTGATTGAAGGGACGCGATATTGGCTGAGCAGAAAAAAATAGTGAAATGTGTACTTTGCAACTTGATCAGTCAATTAATTTCTAAAAAAATATAACCCTGTGCCCGGAATTTAAATCATGAAGGCATGATAGCATGAACTCTGTTATTTATATACTGTATGGTTACAGCCTATGGTAGCTAAGTTTGCTATTATTAATTATAAATAAACTCTCTAATCCATGTTTCACAATGCAGCCCTATATAAAGGAATGTGTTCAATCTCCAGTTGTAAAAAGCATGTTAAAATATTAATATTTTCCAGTAATTGTGAATTTAAACAATTTTAAGTAATGTGATGAATTAGGCTACAGAAATAGTCAAGCAAACCACTCATTATATACCACATCTATTTATAATTGCACATCTTTTGTAATCTTAATTAAAGGTTGCATATTCTTCTAGTTTTTAGCCTGATGCCTTAACTTGCTATCTTTGAAGCACTGTCTTTTCCCTATTCTCTGTCATATATTTTAGCTAGATTAATGAAGGTTTATATTTTGAACGACTTGATCTTTACAGATTTCTTACAGTTTATTAAAGCTACTTTATGCACTTTATAGGGAGTCCTTCAAGTTTGAAGAAAACTCTGTTTTGCACTCTATTAATCTGTGGACATAGAGGTGACTCTGCACTCTCAATCTGGAAGCAAAATCTAGCACAATGAGGGCACTGGAAGTCTGTTGTAGTAGCAGCTGTGGGTGTTATTCTGTGACACTGCTCACAGTTTTCTTTTGGCAGTGTCTTCAAAGCTGATGGAGGCTTCATAGCACAGGGACACCAGTGTGTTCTGTCAGCAGCTCAGCTTCTAGTTCCCTTGGCTGGATGTCACAGTGTCATAGGGTATCTTTCACAGTGTCTTCATAGTGCTTTCATGGTTAGCTTCAAGATCTCTTCTCCAACTCCAGTACACTGTAGAGGAATTGGCAAAGCATAAAGCAATAATCCATTGTGATGATGTGTCTGATACAACTTACCCAAACTGTGATAATCAGTGACTAAATTCTGGTGGACTCCATATGATCCTAGATTAATGATAAAATTTATCTGTTTAGGTTATTAACAATTTCATTCACATCATCATAAATAAAAGAGATTGATGTCTATGGTGGCTCTTAATCATCTAGGTCCCACTTTTAGTTCTCCCAAAAGTGATTTTTAAAGAAAACTGGACTTTTGGGATTTTTTTTTCCTTAAACATATTTCTTCTCATCCGGGAAGCTTCTTCAGTTTTGACTAAATGGTGGGGAATGGAAGGATTTATATTCTTTGCAGTCATCTGGTTCTTAGCACTCTGAAAGTTGATCATGAGCTGTGACTCATTGAGGCACCTTGGTGTTTTATCCCTACCCTCAGGGCTACCTGAATCAGAGTACAAATTGGGACTGCTAAAAGGTAGAAAGGAGATAGGTGGTGTTGTGGTCTTACCTGTTGTTCAATTTTTACATAGATGACCTCTTTGATCCCTTCTTCAAACCAGTGGTCCTCCCTATTCAGAATGTGACCTTTCTAGAGCCCTATCTTCTTTGGGGGTACAAAACACCACATCATAAACCCATGGCACAACATAGGAGAACAAAGCCACTAGGACACAATTCAGCAGTCCTTCTGCCTTTGAAAGACAAATGTCATTCTTTTGAAGACAGAAAGTCCACATTATATTTTTTTATTTTTTTTAAATAATCATTGTATTTTTGTCTCATCAAAAAAAGACAATTAAAGGGAAACCTAATATAACACATTTACATAGTATTACAGTGAAGAAATATTGTTTTACTCATGCAGTTTTATTCATATTGTGTATCATGCACACATCCTGTATATGTGAATATCAAAAGGATTCTGGATATATTTCAGATTATATGTACTACATAATAATTTATTTATTGGATTTTAGGAGGAAATAGATTGAAGAATCAACCTTTTCGTTTGAACTGGGCTTGGATTTCATTGGAAAAAGAATATTACATGATAGATGAGGATTCCAAGGTTCTGGAGGTAACCCTGAAACGCAGAGGATATCTGGGGGAAACTTCATTTGTTAGTAAGTATGGTTTTAATATGTTGAAATATTTAAAATGGAACATGTAGCTTTATAATAGAGAACTTGTGATTTTCATAGTTTTCCTGGTCAAAAGATTATAGGCACTATAAAATTACTTAAAAGAAAATAGACTTTTAGAGTGTAAAATATCATATAAACAAATATACAGTAATGAAGGTGGTAACAAATGTGTCAACCAAAGTACTATGTACTTTGAATATTTGTTTACATTAGATATCTTTCTGAATGAACCCTGCAGTGTATTAAGCTAATCTATTCTAGCTATAGATTAGTCTGCCTTACATACCTTCATTGATTATCCTTCATAGTACAATATTTTTATAAATGCATGTTTTTATGAATGCCCTGCAGATTCATGGACTTTTTTTATATTGGGCTGTACCATTTCTTCTGAAATGGCTTCTTTTTATTTTAGATTAAAAATGCATTTATTCCTGTTTGTATGAAAAAACTTTCTACTTAGGAAGGAAGACTGTTCTCTAGAGACATATTTGCAATTTGTTGGTGCTCTTTCTTGATTTGAGCTCTGTGACTTGTTACAACAAATTCTGGCTGGTACAAGAAACATAGTATGTTGCTGAAATGTTTGTAGTCAGCTAATTGTTAATACTGAATGTTTTAAAAAATCCATCACCTTTCCTACCTAAAATAAAATGTGTCTGATTACTTTTTGTTAAGTGTGGTTCAGTGAATTCCACTAAGAAACAGGAAAAAAAGTGTATGCAAAACATTGAAGTTTCTTCATGAAGGTTTTTTAGAAGTGCTAAGATAAACTATAAAGCTGGTGGGGGGAGATGTCACAGGTGAATTCAAACATTTTACTTATTAAGGCTCAAAATATAGAAGTGANTGCTCAGTTGACTGAAAACTGTTCTGTACATGTGCAGAAACATGCCAGCAATGGCAGAAGAGACCAAGGAACCGGTTTGGGGGCGTGGCCATCAGGTTCGCTGCCAGTTCCGCGACCCAGCCACATCACCACTACCTGTTCAGCAAAACCAGGAACAATCCATCTCTGACTGACATCCCTAAACTCTGAAGATGTTTCCTAGCCTGGTAACAAAACATTCAGAAACCAACCCACAAACTCAGAGAACAAACCCTCACCCTCATCCTACACCCAAGCTCCAGATATTCGCCACTATTGCAATAATTTATTTCATTACCTTCCATCAAATGCACCAGAGTCTGTTAAATCATCAACAGGGTTTATAACCTGCAGTGGCTAGACTTACACAACATACTAAGTCTGAATCAATGTTATCTTTACCAGTTGTCTATAAAACCATTAGTTAACTAATTTAATATTCCTAATATTTCACTGGTATGATTACATGCCAGTCGCCCCCATTCTTGGACCAGGAGGTTCTTGCTCATTGTTACGTATACTTTAAGTACTTTCTGGCAAAATTACTGCAACATTCTCTAGGTGGAGCTGCCCTTTAACAACCCTAGAAGATTGAACTGATACAGAATCTGACACTGTGTATGTTACAAAGTCCATGTGTTAACCACTGCTGCTAAAACCTTGTTGCCAATATGCTTCCAGGTGCTTTACAAGTGCTGGTTATTATCATTAAAACCTTACATGAAATGGGAACAGATTTCTTGTGGGACCATCTATGTCTTTTACTGATATGACAGAGTGGGCATGTTCCAGATCCCCTCTGTCAAACAGTGCTCTCTTGTAGGACCAGGGATTGTGTGGCCTGTGGAACAGCCTCTCCATATATTTGGATGGCTCCAACCAATCTGGTCTTCCAGAAGGCAGATAAAACTTGGCTTATCATCCTAGTGCTAGGGTCAAGATGTTAAGAAAACCTAATATCCATGTGATTTATGGAATTGTTATGTAGTACTCCTTTCCTGAAATGTTTTAATGGATTGTGGGTTTTTATGTTGTCTTTGTATGTATTGTTTTACCTTTCAATGTTATGTAGCTGTTTTCTGCTACTAAAATATTTTAGGAAGCTATCGGATATCAACAAGAGATACATGTAGCTGACCTCCCCCAGGGATGGCATGCCTCCCTCTGGCAAGAAAGAGACACCCCCCATAGGTACTTCATGGGACANTTGGGGGCAATATGCTGACTCTCTGTAAACCGCTTAGAGAGGCCTGAAAGGCCTATGAAGCGGTATATAAGTCCACTGCTATTGCTATTGCTTAAACTATTTTCTCTTTTCTTTCTAAACCGTTCTTTGTTTCATTTGATGGAGAAGAGGTTTAACAAACCACAGGGAAGCATGATCATTGGGATTAAAAAAAAGGTAAAATTAGGTGCGGAAAAGAATAAAATCATTTTTAAAATAAAAAATAGCATGGAATAACTATGGTTTTTTTTCCCTTTTCTTTTCATTTGTCTTTTCATTTTCTTTCTAGTTTTGCTTTGCATATGTTTGCTGTATTGAAAAAGTCTCTGATGCCGTCCTGCAATCTGATATTTTCAAATTACTAAACCCTCACAAGATTCCAGGGATTGTGTTCAAAATCATATTCCCAAATAATATTGTAGAAGATTCAGTAAACTTGTACAAGATCTCATGTCATGTTATGGAAATACCAATATTTGTCTCTCTTCTAATGCCAGATTAGATAGTTATTCTCTGATGTAAGCATTAAGGCAAGCAATGCAGTTTCTTTTCCTGAGCAATAGCAAAATTTTCTAAAGCTAGTTTTGCATTCATGAATTTCCACCAAATTTAGTGGAACTAATTTTTTAATTAAAATGCAGAACAGAAGGTTGCCATTGTATTCATCAGAAAATTTGTAAATTGGCTTTTAGAGCAAACTGCCAAGTAACATGTAGAAATGATGAATAGGTACTAAAAATGTTGAATATGCTAGTATAAATACAATACCTCTGTATTTTTCTTGTTCAGTTTTGTTATACCTTAATGGGAGAACTAGTGGAAAGTATATGTAAGATCATTTTTCCCTGATACTTTATTTCCTTATTAGGCAGGAAGAAGTTCTGCCTGGTGCATATTCTGCAAGGTTTATGACACCATGGGTTAGGCAGCTAGTCAAGTTGTGCTTGTGAAGCATGACAGCTGTTGGTCAGTCTCAGATGTTAGGTATGCCAGCACAGCTGCAAGATGTAATAGCTCGGAGATGAAAGTATAAAAACAGGTTCATAGCCACTTTAAAAAGGAATATTAGATTCCTTTAGTTAGAGGCTTTCATATTGAGCCTTACTAGGTGGCCTAACTAGAAACAGAGCTGTGATAGAATAACGAGGTGTAAGGTCATTAATTAATTTTAGGGCTTGCAGTTTTATGCTCAGTTCATTGAGAGTTAGTCTCATTTAATGCAATAAAACTATAGAATAAACACTCAGAGGATTGCATGTGTAAAAAGAGAGTTTTAGCTTGAAAAGTAATACTAGACTCCTAAACATTCAGAATAGTTTGGAGGCAAGAAAAATGAATGTTTTAATTTACATTTCACTAGCTTCTATGTAGGATAGAATCTTCCATGTTGTACCTACAGGACTCAGCATGTAAACATCTTTTGATTCTATGAATGGGGAATGCTGTGGAGAAGGGAGGAAATAATTTAGCTCTTGCTATGTGCCATTTATGTTAAATGTTTACTACAGGTAGTCCTTAACCTACAACACAAAATAAGTGAGACATTAGTTGAGTGAGTTTTGCCCCATTTTGTGATCTTTCTTGCCACATTTTTTAAGTGAATCACTGCAGTTGTTAGCAATACAGGGGTTAAGTGAATCTGGCTTTGTGTGTCAGAAGGTTGCAAAAGATGATGACATACTTTGAGACACTATAACTATCATAAATATAAGTCAGTTACCAAGCTTCTGAATTTTGATCACATGAACGTGTGCTTCAATGGTCTTAAGTATGAAAAACATAAGTTATAAGTCACTCTTTCCAGTGCTGTTGTAACTTTGAACAGTCATTAAACGAACTGTTGTAAGTTGAGGACTACCTGTACTTAAAGCTATAAGTACAGGAGAGTAAGGATTCTGCTTATTTTGATTTCTTCATTTTTTTCACCTTGTTGGGACCAGACCTATTCATCATAGTCATGTTACTTCTAGATAAAGTAACGGGAAGATAGCAGTTCTTCCAAACTATACATGTTAGGGAGTAACACATATTACCTCTCAAAGATGCAAAGTTTGAAGTAAACTCTTAGTATCTTTGTATTTCTGCCAATGTAATCTAAACTCTGTTTTAATTGAAAAGACAACCCACTGCTTCAAATAAATTCCTTCCTTTGTATATTTGCCCTTTTTTCGAGATAACAGTTCTTCTTTACATTCCTATCATTTCTTGCCAAACTTTGTGTACTCCCCAAATAAAGCACACAAATCCCCCCCCCCCGCCAATCTGAACTGAGAGTAGGCATAATTGAGCTAGCAATATCTGCTTTTTCAATTAATTAGAGGGAAAAAATAAGGGCATAGCAATTACAATGTGCTTATTGTGAACTTTTCTTTAAATTAAAAGCCATTTTTGGAGGACATTATTGCTTTCTTGCACCAATAATGCATTGTATAGGTCATATTAGATTAATTCTCACAAGTAAATAAATCACTGGTTTGTGTTAGCTACTTTGATTGTTCAGATGCCTGAACAATCCTGAATGATTTCCTTTTCTTCCAACCATTTAGAGTATAGTGAAGCTTGGTTTAGAACAATTATTTATAGTCTACATTTAGATAAAAAGAATACTTAATATGTGGAACATTAAATATGGGGCTTAAAAGTCTAAACTAGTAGAACTGTCCAGACCACCTGGACCAAACATAGAATTTGGTGGGGAATAAATTGTATTATATTTTTTAAGTTAATATACTTGTAAACTTTTACAAGTTAATATACAGACTTAGTTTGAAAGAATCATTTTCTAAATGAAAGGGAAAAGTTAACAAAAAGTCTTCTATTGATAAATAGTACACATCTGAATATTCAACTGTGCATCACAGTTTTATGTGCATGTATGAATGGTGA